ATTTTGCCTTTTCTCCTCAGGCCTCAGCTGATGGGGAAGTAAATGAATCTTCAGTAAACATTTCTGGCATCAGATGATATTTCCAAGCATTGTATTATGGCTCCAAATGTCTGTGTGAGTTAATTGTATTTATGACTACTGGTAATTATTTGGAAAGTATGCTTCTCAATCTACTCGTGGAATCATTGAGGACTTACAGGAAGGCAGTACTCTATTTACTCTCAAAGTGGATCTGAAATAAGTTCTCTGTTATATGGGCAGCCTAGTCTTTCCACGTGAAAACAGGGCACTTGGTGGAGAGTGCAGGTTCATGTTAGTGAATGGTTTTGAGGTCTTTTCAAAATCACTGAGTATTAGACCTGGAGGGAAATTTAGAGATACACTAACGGAGTCTACTCCTCATTTTTATTTGAAATAACTGGGGTAAAGGAGGGTTAAATGATTTACCCAAAGCCACCGCAACTCAGACTAAAATCTGCGTGGCCTAACTTCCAAATCAGTGTCCTTTCCACATACTGTCCTGCTTCATCATGACAAAATAACATAGGAAAAAACACTGACACATATGAATTTCATATTGTGGGGTCACATTGACATCTAGATATATAATCTTATAATGTAACTGCTTATGAAGCATAGTAACCTCCATCTTGTATAAAACTGCCTTTGGAAATTCTCTGCTATTGTTAGATAGTCCCTAGTCCTGTAAACTCTGTCAATGTAAACTCTGTCACTTTAAGACAGTCTCTTATCCTATAAAATGACTTTGTTTTTAGTTCAAATAATAGAAAAAGATAAACTTAACTGTCTGACCTTGCAAACTAGCCATCTAAAAGGGCTGATATGCTGATACTGATAATAATTCCCATATTCTTATGCCAAGTGTTTGTATCTAAGGTTATAGGTGTCTATACAGATATGATATGTACTCAAGGTTACAAGTTGTCTGTTTAGATATAATAGGTGTTTGCTAGATATGATATGTACTCAAGGTTACAAGCTGTCTACAAAAATAACTTATACAAAAAACTAGAAGAATATAAAAAGGAAATACTCCTTCCTGTGTTTGTTCAGAGTTTGACAGAGGTAATCTGCTCTGAACCTGTGCGAAATAAAGATAACTCCTAATTAATTGTCTCATTAAGGCATATTGTCCAGCTCGCTGATTTGTGATACAACATTTGGAGGCCCCAGTGAGATAAGAGACAGGTGCCTACCTGCACCTAGTCTCGGACGCCTGGGATGGACGGCCTCCCTGGCCTGGCTGCCAGGCCCTGAGTATCTCTAGGGAGAGGTACCACCTGACGAAGCTTTCCAGGGCCCCAGAGATGCTTCTCAGTGGTCTTGACAGCCAGACAAGGGACACCTGACATGCCCCTGCATTCTTTTGGAGTCATCAGAAAGAAAGCCTCCAGAGGTGAGTGAAGTCAGATTCAATTAAGGAATTTCGAACTTTTCTCTCTGTTTGACTAGTCTTCTTGTACCGAAAGAAGGATTGGATGCAGTTGTAACTTCTCCGGTGAGGTTCTCACTGAGATGTTGGTCGAGAATCCTGTCCTGGGCATGGGTGCCGGGAGTGCCCCCACGTCCATCAGGGAAGTTGGGGAGTGTTTCAATTATCTGCTTAACTCCCAAGAGAGAGTGCTTGTCTGCAGAAAGAGTGTGAGTACGGATGTTTGTCTGTCTTGGCATAATTATCTGTTCATTAACTGGTCTATAAATATAAATGTGAGAGCCTGTGTGAAAGCGAAAGCTACTTTGATTTATTCTGCACTTCTTTTGGTTCATCTGGCCAAAAAATGTTTAATTTATCAAAGGTTGAATGCCGTGATAATCTGCAAAGGTCTCAAGCAGTACCGCAGAGATTTATTTTTCTCAGAGACGTTTGCTCTCTTTCACAAAGGGAATCAGCCCACTTAGCTAATGAAGTTTCTGTCTATCTATAATAGGGGTTTTGGTTTGCTCTTCCCTGATTTATGATTTTATTGTATTAGGTTGAAATTTTGGAATTCTGGGGTAGGTTTAAAGGTATAAATTTTAAAGGGTTTAGCCCAGAGATAACAAAGGCCGGCTAGGTTCCAAGATTGCTTGTAAAAGAGAGAGAGAGAGAGAGAGAGAGAGAGAGAGAGAAGTCTTTTCAAATTAACTATTTGCAACAAAGTAGTAAATTTCACAGACAAAGAATTTTTATTTACAGCTTTCTTATCATCTCCCCTCTGGCTGATGGAGCTTTCCAAGGGGGAAAAATAGTTTGCCTCAAAGCCTGGTAGGGTGAGGCTACTGGGTGCTTCTTGGGCTGCATTGGAATGTTCAAGCAGAAAAACTTTGAAATATAATATTTTATTGGCCGAATTAAAAGGAATTAATTCTACCAAATTGTTAATGTTACAACTAGTTTAAGTTTTAATAATCTTCAGATAAAATATATTTAACAGCTTTTCTGAATGTAATATTTCAATAATTTAACTAAAAGGCAGTTTTATGGGATCTCAAGGGCCCTGAGAAATTCGAAAATCTATCTCTCTCTCTCTCAAAAAGGAATATTTCTGAACTAAATTAGACCAATACAATATACTTGAAATTACATAAGGAAAAATATAGCAGTTTTTACTAGACAAGTTTTAATTTACCTGATCTTAGTTTTATCACAGAAGGTCTAGTTATATTTTCTTGAAAAAGTACATTTAAAGTATGTTGATAAATATTAATCTAAGAAATGCTGGCTGTTTACTTTTTGGTAATTATTGCTAAAAGTAAAAAATTCTAATACATTTTAAAGAATAAAAAAAGAAAAGGTCTACAAGTTGCTGATAGTGTGACAGAAAAAAATATTAGAGTAAAGATATTTAATATAAGGTCTAAGGCAGCGATGGCGAACCTATGACACACGTGTCAGAGGTGACACACGAACTCATTTTTTTGGTTGATTTTTCTTTGTTAAATGGCATTTAAATATATAAAATAAATATCAAAAATATACATCTTTGTTTTACTATGGTTGCAAATATCAAAAAATTTCTATATGTGACACGGCACCGGAGTTAAGTTAGGGTTTTTCAAAATGCTGACATGCCGAGCTCAAAAGGTTCGCCATCACTGGTCTAAGGCATAGTTATGCATTTTTGAAGGACATAGAAAAAAGGTTTGAAGGCTAATTTGAAAGTATGAAATTCATAAAGATTATGTATATAATAAAAATAACAGAGTAAGGTTTTAGTATCAAGAGAAAAAAGCAGTCAGGACAGGGGCAGGTATGACTTGGGGAAAAAAAACAAAAAAACTAAACTCCCAGTAGTCAAGAGGAGGAGAGATGGAGCTGAAGTCCGCAGCCACCCTGGTGATTTAGAGCTGTTTACTAGGCAGATTCAGCCCCTGAGAGCCAGGAGAAGGAAGGTGTGT